GTGTGCGTATGTCAATTGCTACCTCGAGGATTGTAGATGTTTGAGAAATTTAATGAATAATGTAGCTATAGTTATTCAAATGTCAATTAGATAAGAATAAGTTAGAGACATCTCGTGCGAATTATAACAATTAAATAAGTTGTAAGTCAATTTACGATCCGAAAGTCGTGCCTCATGAATCACTTTATTCGTATTGCAACGTGCAAAAATTGGCTTCAAATTAAATTTTTTATTTCACGTAACAAAAGATATAACACTTGGAGGAAAGTCCTCTATTATGAGATAGGTTTCTAATACGAGATAGCAGGTTTTCAACATCTACATTCAATCACAAATCTTTTTCCGTAACGATTACACAACGAATTTCCCACTAAACAGATTTCGCTCTGCACTGAGAAAAAAGTCTTTGAAAATTTATTTGTGGCATAGAATGTTCATTTCAGTGAACCAAACATTATATGCCACGAATAAATTTTCAAAGGCTTTTTGTTCTCAGTGTAAGGGCAATAAATTCATGGCGGAATCAACCGATGATGCTTATTAATTTAACAGAAACCCCGCTATCCCATATTAGGCTCTTATCTCATAATAGGAGACTTTCCTCTACTTGTTAAATTCTATTGTCATAAAATGCCGAATACATCCTACACTGAAAAAACAGTTTCGCTACCGTAGCTAATCATGGTTTGCTAAAAATATTTTGCTGCCATGACTATAAATTTCGAAACCACAGCAACCGGTTTGCTGTCGCACCTAATACAATAGGCACAGTAGCAAAATATGTAGTTATCACAACTAAATATTAGCTGTCCGTATTTTACAACTAAAATTTAGTTGCCACATGCTACATTTTTCTTTCCGTGTACATACGAAGTGAATTAGCCGGTTGCCATTGTTTAATTAATTAAAATTAATTAGTTTCTGCCGCTTTTTATGAGCTTTAGTCTTTCCACTGTTTTCTTTTGTCATCGGATATTATCGAATGACGTCGAACACTGTTTTAATAATAACCAGGATTAATAACTACCGTTGTGAAACGTTTCGACCGACGCGGA